CCCTGTGACACTATGATCATCTACATTTGCAATGTTAGATAACCTCAATAGGTCAGGGGCTCTCAAAAGTATCCTGGACAGTCTCTTCCCTGTAGAAAGTAAACCTATCAGAACAGAAGTTACATGAGAATTCTCATCTGGCTGATGAAGAAAAGGAATAGTTCACTGTACTTTTTTCCACAGACAGCCCACCACCTATTCATGGACTCCCACCTTGTGTCACTAGTGCTCANTAGAAAGTAAACCTATCAGAACAGAAGTTACATGAGAATTCTCATCTGGCTGATGAAGAAAAGGAATAGTTCACTGTGCTTTTTTCCACAGATGGCCCACCACCTATTCATGGACTCCCACCTTGTGTCACGAGTGCTCTCTGCTTAAGAGTTTGCAGAGATGTGTAATTGGCCAGGAAGCCTTTAATCCAAGAGATAGGAACCAAGATGAGGGCCCCATGCAGGGGAACAGAGAAGACCAGCACCCCAGAATATAACAGGTCCCATCTGCTCTCAAACGTAGAGGGTCTCAGAAACAGNCATGCAGGGGAACAGAGAAGACCAGCACCCCAGAATATAACAGGTCCCATTGCTCTCAAACACAGAGGGTCTCAGAAACAACTGTCAGACTGAACATACCCTCCTGTATTCTGGCTTCTTATGGGTGTAAGAGCCTTGATCTAAGGGCAGAGTTGTCAGGTCAGTAGAGGAAAGAGTATCAGGATGTCATAGAAATGGCAGTGATAAACCTTAATGAGGATGATGGTAGGACCCAGCCAAAAGAGTAGGATCCCACAGAGCCCCATCCCAGTTTTCAGCCCTGTGAGGTTACTTGTGTCTAACACTGACTTTCATATCAGGTCCCTGGAAGTTGAGGGTTTTTCTGCAGGCTGTGTGCTCGGTTCAGCAGAGAGTGGTGTCCCAGGAAGGGTGCGGAGTCAAAGTAAAGAACTTGAATGAGGACAGATTAACCCCTCCTCTGCAGTTATCTCTGGGAGGCACAGGCAAAAGCAGACAGGCTCAAGTCCTCCTTGGATTCTGCAGGGTCTCAGAGAAATAAGAGTGTTGGTGTACAGGCTGGATCACCAGCCGAGAGTAGAGTCCCAGGCATGAGAGTGTCATCGCAAAAATCCCGTGTGAGGAATTAAGCAACCAACTGCTCCATAACAGGTCTGTCTTGAGAAGGTTCTGATCTGTAGTTAGTCCTGGAAGGTCAGAGGCAGAGCTTCCAGACCAAGGTTAACCCTCGTTTCCTGAAAGGGGGTGGTCTCAGGGACTTAAAGTCCTTGGACTAATGGGGAAGCCCCATTCAGCAGAGGAAGGATGCCCGGTTTCTAGCAGGATTCAACATGATGACACAGAGTAACAGTGAGTGTATCCCTCCCAGAAAGAAGGGGCCACATAGAGCCCTGTACTTGTTGTCAGACCTGCTGACATGATGAATCATACTGTTGCTCCCAGAGTTCTCATGGAGGTGAGGAAACTCGTCAGAAGTGGGCAGCCCCAGACTCTCCCACAGTTTATACATTATATCGTCTGATGAGGTGGGGATGCATTACAGAATTATCCTTGCTAAGCAGCATTCTCAGTGGCTGCAATTTCTGTGTCTTGGGGTTTGGTAATATGCTCGAGTTCACAGGACTAAGTGACAGGGCTGGGACAAGGCTCTTGGCCTGAATTCCTCTAGAGCACACACTGTTCATTCTACTCCCCTCTGCCTAAAGCAGACCTTGTGCTCCTTAATATTCCAAAATGTGTCTCAGGGAATAAAAATAAGGACTCTGTGCCCAAAGCATTTTATTGGAATACAGAGCCAAAGCAAGTAAGAACACCCCAGAAAATGGAAGTTATGACTAGAGGAGAAAGAGATCATAGTCAGTGACAGTGTGATCATCTCCATATGCAGCATCAGGTCATTTCTTTTTTTTTTAAATATATCTTTATTGATTTCAGAGAGAGGAAGGGGGAGAGGAAGAGAGAGATAAAAACATCAATGATGAGAGAGTCATTGATCGGCTGCCTCCTGCACGCCCCTCGACTGGGGTCGAGCCTNTCATTGATCGGCTGCCCCCTGCACGCCTCCGACTGGGGGTCGAGCCCGCAACCCAGGCATGTGCCCTGACCGGGAATCGAACTGTGATCTCCTGGATCGTAGGTTGAGCTCAACCACTGAGCCACGCCTGGCTNCATGTGCCCTGACTGGGAATCGAACTGTGATCTGGATCCTAGGTCGATGCCCAACCACTGAGCCATGCCAGGCCNGGTTGAGCTCAACCACTGAGCCACGCCTGGCTGGGCTCAGGTCATTTCAAACTCAGGGTTCACAGAGCCCTCCTGGACAGCTCCTTCCTGTTAGGACCTAAATCAGTTAAAACAGAAGGCAAAAGACTAACTCTGACTTGAAAACAAGGAGAGATCAGCACCATTTTTCTCTGATAGCCCACCCCTGTGGTGTGCCCCTGCCTTATGTTGCAGTTTCCGTATCTCACATCAAGTCTGGCACATGAACCCACAAGGTTTGCATTAGGGACACTTCTCGAGAAATCAGAGGAATGTGGTGTTTCCCAGGAATCTGTTCATCCAAGAGACAGGAGACAAAATGAGGACCCCTGTGAATGAGGACTGGGGAGACCATCACCCCCAAAGATAGAGGGTCATTCAGAAACCTGCCCAAACCTGCTCTCAGACCCAGAATGCCCAGGCAGGACAGTCAGACTGCACCCACTCTTGTACTCATAGTTCTCGGTGAGGTGAAGGTCTTGGCCTAAGGAGAGTGGCCTCCGTTCAGGAGAGGGTGGTTCCTAGGTTGGACACATGTCAAGTTGAGGATGCTGAATGAGGGGACCACTGACTCCAGAACACTGCTGTTCCATAGAGACTCAGCCCTGCAGTCACCCTCTCAGGACTCAAACATCCCTGGCCTAATGTGGCTACTCCTGCTTCCACATGGGAGGTCTCTGNCAGTCACCCTCTCAGGACTCAAACATCCCTGGCCTAATGTGGCTACTCCTGCTTCCACATGGGAGGCCTCTGGAAGGAACTGACCTTGACCTGAGCACAGTAACCTCGGGTCAGGGAGGGCAGAGTGCCAGGACTTGCCAGGAGCGAGGTGAAGTCCCTGAGTGAGGAAAGAGGGGACCACTAGTCCGATTGATGAGGGGGCTTTACAGACCCCCGGCTCTCTTCTTAACCGTGAGAGACCCCGGGGGGAGCTAAAAGGCTGAGAAGCCTGCTCATTTCTGCCTGGTGATCTCAGGGAGGGAAGGGCCTTGTGGGAGTCTCACAGAGTCCTGCCCCTCTTGTTAGGCTTGTGATGTCAAGGGCGACATCATAAGCAGTGTGCCCTGACTGCCTCACTGCATTCTCAGGAACATGAGGGCTTTTTTGTTTGGGGTCTGGCAGAGGATTCCCAGGCTCTGATAGATACCAAGATGAGGGCCCTGAATGAAGACCTAGGGAGCACCAAGTCCTAAAGTATGGGGTCTCACAGAGCCCCGCCTGTCAGTTGTTGGAGACCCTGGGCAGCCATAGCCAGACATGACTCACCCAGACTTCCACTTTGGAGTCAAGGAGCTTAGACTGATGTGCCAGTTTTTTTCCATCTAGGTTGCAGACCCAGCACCAGTCTGAAGTCTCAGGTGAGGATCTGAGCGTGGACTGCTGAGATCATGCCCACTCCCATAACAAAGGTGACCCTACAAACTCCCGCCTCTGTGATCAGCAGTGGAAGGTCTCTAAGAGCTTTCCAGCTAAGGACTGCCTGGACAGCCTCAGGGAGGAAGACCTTGGTCTAAGTTAGTAACTCTGATTCTTCAGATCAGGGAAACATAGGCCCTAACTAGAGTCAAAGAGAGGGCCCTGGGTGCAAATAAGGGGATCTCTTCCCATTAAAGATGTCAATAGAAAGCAACACCCCTGCTCTCAGTTCTAGGAGTCTCCAGGCAGGTATAGACATTTTTGTCCGGCTCCAGCTTTCCCCCTAGGAGCCCAAGGATGTGAGGGCCTTGTCTGAAGGCTGGTGGCCTCAAGTTCAGTAGAGGGAGGAGTATCTGGCTCTGATAGGTATCTAATGAGATCCCTAAGTGAAGGCTTAGAGACCAACAGAATATCTGTCCATCTGAGCCACCCCTATCATTTCTCTCTGGAAAGTCCCACACGGGTAAGGGTGTTGGACTCATTGAGCTGCCTCAATGCTGCAGAGAGAGGAGACCCAGGGGAAGTATCCTGCATGAAAACTGGTGGTACCACTCACCCCTCCTAAAGAGGAGACAACAGGGAGTCCCCCCCTTGCTTGCAGCACTGAGGAGACATGACATGGAAGTCAGATGCATGTGAACCCTCTTTTATTTTGATGGTATTATGTGGGCGAGAGCCTTTCTGAGTGTACACACATCAGGTCTGCAGAGGCAGATATCCCAGGCCTTAACTAGAGTGAAGGTGAGGACCCTGAATGAGGACTTAGGACCCCAAGGAGCTCATGGCAGTGAGTCCCATGGAGCTGTCAGCAATGGGTGCCCCTTGGCAAAGATGGTGGACAGAGGTGTCCCTTTATTGCCTCTTAAGATGCCCCAAGAAGTTGAGGACCTGGGCTTAAGGTCTAAATTTAGAACAGCGTGGAAGAGATGACCCAGGCCCTGCCCAAAGTTGATATGTTGGTCTTGAATGGGAACTGAGGCGACCCCCACAGTCCACAGCAGTGGGGCTCCAGAAGAGTAGACTTTCCTACTGCTGCTATGAGCCCTAGTAAGCACTAGGCAGGGCTGCCCGGCTCCAGCCTCAGGCTCACTGTAATGATTCCCATGCGGTTCTCAGAGGACAGTGGGTCACAACAGGAGCCCTGTAGGTTCCTGGAGCACTGCCCTCAAGGAAAAGTGCAGAAGTGGCTCTCTTCAAGTCGAGGTGGTATATCCCTGATGAAGGTGCTCACACCCTCTCACCCTCTCTTCTCTCAGGCCCAGATCACCTGCTGTCCTACCCACATTCTACCTACTGTCCTTGACAGTCAGCATGCCTCGGCGTCGAACGAAGCTCGGCGTCCGTGAGAAGCCCCAGCAGGCCCAAGGTGAGACCCAGGGGCTGAGGGGTGCCGAGGAGAAAGCATTGCCCTCCTCGCTCCCTTCTCCTCTTCCAGCCGTCAGGCAGGGAAAGCCCGGCGCGAGGTCCCGTAGCTCTCGCAAGTGGCCCCGGAGAGCCGCGTCCGCCACCACTCAGTCTGCAGGTGTTCCTCGCGCAAGATCATCCAAAGGAGCCACCTGCAAAACCAAGAACAAGCGAAGTCCCTCCAGGGCCCCGCGTGCCTCTGCGCGGTCCCAAAGGGACCCTCTCGGCGAGGTGACCGGTATGTTGGTGCAGTTCCTGATGCAGATGTGCAAGGTGAAAAAGCCTATCAGGAAGGCAGATATGCTCAAGATTGTCCAGAAAAAGCACAAGAAATGCTTCCTTGAGATCCTCAGAAGAGCGTCTTTCAGCATGGAGGTGGTATTTGGTGTTGACCTGAGGGAGGTTGATGCCGTGAAGCATATTTATGACCTTGTCAGCAAAATGGATCTCCCCAACAATGGGAGGGTGGGCCGTGGCAGGGGGTTCCCCAAGACCGGCCTCCTGATGCATATCCTGGGTGTGATCTTCATGAAAGGCAACTGCGCCACTGAGCAGGAGATCTGGGAGTTCCTGAACAAGATGAGAGTGTATGCTGGCAAGAGGCACTTCATATTTGGGGAGCCAAGGAAGCTCATCACCCAGGATTTCGTGAAGCTGAAGTACCTGGAGTACCGCCAGGTGCCCGGCAGTGATCCTCCAGGCTACGAGTTCCTGTGGGGCCCCAGAGCCCGCGCTGAAACCAGCAAGATGAAAGTGCTGCAGTTTTTGGCCAAGATTAATCAGACCGACCCCAGTGCCTTCCCATCCTGCTACGAAGAGGCTCTGAGAGACGAGGAGGAGAGAGCCCAGGCCGCAGTTCCGCTCGGGGCCGGCCCCGATGCCCAGGCAGTGAGTGAGCCGGGGCCGTGCCCCGCAGCCCCTCCCGCCCCTGGGGAAGCTGCGGCCCAGTCTTCATTCTGTGATTGAAGAGAGAGCGGCCAGTGTTCCAAGGAGGGGAGAGCTGGGTGTGGCAGGGAGCACAGCGTCGGATACCTTAGTGTTCCTGTCTGTGTGGGCAGCTTCCTGAGATTCAGCTGCATTTTCTTTTTTTTTCAAAGGTTNATATCTTTATTGATTTCAGAGGGAGGAAGGGGGAGAGAGAGAGAGAGAGAGAGGGGAGAGAGAGAGAGAGAGAGAGAAACATCAG